TCGCAGTGCAAGACAAATTATGCTTTTAATATCTGAGATGCTAAACAACAACCACCATAGTGTCCTCAGGCAAAGCACTTCAATCCTAAAAGCTACTGGCTGCGGACATGTTAAAATATACACACGTCATGTTTGTGTTTAATGACAACAAAGACTGATTGAACAGGCTGTTCTAAATGTTCTCTCTCTGATACAGAAAATCTTGTTTTTAAAAATGTGAGTAATATGAATTTCTTAATGTCAAAGTAACTTTATCCACAAGATAGATAAAATCCAAAATCCTGGGGGGAAACACTTCAAATGGCCGAAAAATGGAGCTGGTATGCAGCTTGAGACATTTTCAATGCCACAAAATAAAACATGTCACCTCACACTTGTGTGTGATGGTTTAATTCTGAAGTATTCCATAACTCGACATCAGTGAGACCCACAATCACAAAACGATGAATAGCACCAAACTGAAACCACTTCTTTGAAGGACAACTAGCAATGTAACTCTTTAGTTGATATAATTACACCACTTTTACAAAATGGGTCCTCTACATTTTTTTAAAATACTAAATAAAAACTGCAGGTACGGATGTCTATCAACAATGAACTCCCAGACGGACCATCAGGCTTTCCTGTTCGTGAGGCCCCAGTGTTTGTTTGGCCAGCATGTCCCAGCTCGTGCAACCTGTTGTCTATTCTCTTAGCTTTGTATGGGTCACCAGAGCCACTATACATACACACCTTCAGGAAAAGAGCCTTGCTGTAACATTGAGAGATGATCATAGCAACACTGACCTGGGCCGCCACTTGACAACACGCCAGAGAAATGCTGACGTCACTCTGCAGGACTTTTTCCAGGGTCTGCTTGACTGGGCTTGGCTCAGTAGTAATCAGGAATGTGATCAGGTCAATCTTTGCGCCGACCTGATCACTCACAGTAACCACGTGATAAAAGGAACACCAGCAAAAAGGTACATCCTGTGATGAACATTGGTATTTAAAGTTTTTTTGGTTTTGCCATTTTCCTGCTAAAAGGATTCTGAAATGTTCTATTGGAGACCTGAACCTGGCCCTTACTCTTATGTTTATGGCCCGACTCAATTTAAACTATTCCTTTAAAAGAAAAAGACTTTTTTTTACAAATTCCATGTTTTAGATTAAAATTTTTCTGATTTCTTGTTTTACAATTAAAGCACATTTTGCAATCAGTGTGTTATCATGTGGTGGGTCAATACAATTTCAACAAATTAAGAAGAAAATATAAAACATTTAATCATCAATCTATAAATTTGATGTATCATGCAAAAATGCAGCCAAGCAGCTGCACATGACACTAAAGCATCTCCACTAAATCACAGAGACACAGGGTGTCCGAAAACACACTGGCTTTTGAGATAGAGCGATATCTCACAATTTTGAGATAAACAGCATTGGCCATTATCTGCACTCACAGAGGCGATATAGCATCCTAAATGACAGCTAATCTAATCTAAAATCATTACTGGCTTGCGTTAAATATAGTGTTATACTATAGAGGATATTAATTTATAAAACCATTTCTTTGTTTTGATATCGGCCTCGGCCATTGCAAAAACCCGTATTGGTCGACCTCTAACACATACTGCTCAACCACATCGCTGTACACTTAACTCACCGGCACCTCTTCTCAAACTTTCCCTGAGACAAACAACTTGGCTTCAACTTGTAGTGTAATTGTGCCGTCTCTGCTGCTGGTGCCAACAGCATAACTCTGTATAATGGTGAGACAGCAACACAACGGAGTCCTTCCCAAAGGAAACTAACAGCGTCATTTTTTAAAACAAAATGATCCCTTGGTTCATTAGCTTTGGTCTACCCAGTGTTATTAAAGCTATTTGAATCTGCATAAAGACGTCTAGTTGTTCTTCCGGTAATTACAATAGGCTGAGTCAACTGCCCACAACCAAATGGTTTTCCTCAAGGGCAATTTGGTCTCGCTAGCAAAAGTCAAACGCTCACTTTGCTGTGTCCACATTGATGTCAGGTAGAGCCCCACGGTGACAGACATATGGGTCTGTGTGCACGGCTCACACACAAACACATAAATAATCTCACAGTCATAAACAGGAGCCCAACCCTTACCAGACTTAACACCAGCTAATTGCTCATGTATGGCTCCTTTCACTTTACACACACAAACTCTCACAAACAAACACACACACAGTGTGCAACAAAGCGTGCTGGCTCACCGGCCCAGGCCGTCTACAGCTGTGACGTCTCACATGTGGCTCTGTGTTGATATAAGGAGTAACACAAGTGGAAAATTGAAGCTGGTGGGGCCAGACTGCTGACTTCCTGATAGGAAGAGAGTGGAGGTTGAGCCATATATACATAAAGTAGTCAACAGGCTCCAACACCAAGGGAAATACAAAGACAAATGGTCTGTGTAGCTCCATGCATAATGTACTGTGGATATAGATCTGGGTTCCCCAATGGGATCCTTTTATATTAGCATGGGTCTTCATACTAATTAAACCTTCTTGTCAAAGTAAAATGACCTACATCATTCTGATGTCACTGCAAAAGCTACACAGCTTCATTTAGACGTGTGACTCACCGGTGCAAAAAAGCAACTGATGTTCAATCCCCAGAAACTGAAGGAAGTTGGTATGAATCACAAAAAAAAGGCTAAAAAAAATAGGAACTGGAAACTTGTTAGTTTTCACTTAAATGCAGAGCAGACACACCAACGCCAGTCTGAACTCCTTAAAGCTGTTTGTAAGTCAAACAAACCAAAAATATAATTTAGCTATCCTCTGCTGCACGGCACATGGCTAAAACAAGACTGTCTACTTTTAAAACTAAAAAGGGAAGTCCAGCATAACTTTGCTAACCTCATCATGTGGATAATGGAAGTCATTAGGAGGGAATACAATATTCAGTCTGAAATAGGCCACAGTGACATGTTAGTCTGCGCGGTGCTCTAAAAATGAAATTGTCACTTTTGTACATCGCAGTCTCATATATAAAAGTCTCATATCTTGTAAAGACTAGGATCCAACTGCATGATGAAACCAAAATGATAAAACCGTTTCCTGCAGTTAAGAACTGTAATTTGAATGTTTATGAACCAAGAAAAAGGGGATGTATTATTGTAATTTTCTGCATGATGAGCTCTATGGTCAAGATCAAAATGTCTGTTTCATGGGCCGTGACATGCAGTTCTGCTCCCAACTATTTTGGGGCTGTGCCACACATAATCACCTTGAAAACAAAAAACAGACCCCAGCAGAAAATCTCAGCACCTCATTTCCCTCCTCTAACAATCATGCTGTCACAGAAGCTCTGTGACAAGTTTTCTCACAATTGTTTTGTGATAAAAAAGGTTATCTCAAACAGCAATTATAATGTTGTGTTGTACTGGGTCTTTGTGTTCCCAAAATTGCCGTACAAGGCGTCTAACAAAACCGAGTTTATAAGCATCTAAATGTCCAGTGGAGGAGAGTTACGGATGGTTAACTTCGTGAAGCTGGTAAAACCACTCACTTGGACCGAAATTCTTGCAAGTGTCAAAAGGTCAAACAGCTCTACTTATACAATGCCTCACAGGAAGCAAAGGAAACGCTGACCTTTGTAAACAAAGGGGCAATGTGTGTTTCCTGATTTAATTTTAGAATCTCACACAGTCTAGGCAGAACTGTGTCGGTAACGTCTGCAACAACTCTAAACTTATCAATTGCAATTGCAGGTCAGGTTCCCGCTTCAACCATGTGGTCACTTTCTACCTTTCACTGTAGGCTGTGATGTAGTGATACTTGGGAAAGTGATCTCCGGCTTGTAATAATGAAACTGAGAACATCACCAATATGAACAAAATTCAGGAGGTCATGTACTCTTGCGGTTGTCAATTCCTTGAAACAAATATCTGTCAAATAAGTTAGCTGGGTAAGCTTTACATTTTACAGTGGATTTACCCTACCCAATATACTTGCTCATACGTAAATCTATGCAAGCAGTGCTTCTCATTATCATCCCATCTGAATAGCAGACATCTCTTCTCAATTTAATTAAAAACTATTTTTCTAATACTACTATTTTAGTTGGCCATTCTTATAGCATTAACCCCTTCCCTTCTTCCTTTAGATGTAAGAAGTAGTGTTGTGGATGTAATATCAAGGGTCATGCACATTATTTTGATGCATATTATTCTTCTATACTTTTGTATTTTTGTCAATTTATATATTTATGTAAATACAAACCCTCTCCTCCTGTCTGCACAACACAAACCTGGAGTAATGCACATGTAAATATCTTCCATATTGATTTTTCACACAAACACATAGTTCTATTATTCTTTTAACTTGGATCCGTTTGTTTCATATATGTTTTTAATTTACATTTATTTATGTCAGCTGTATGTTTGTGTACGTGTAATAAGATACCTTGTCACCATAGGAAATTCCTCGTACAGTGTAAAATACTACTTGGCAATAAAGCTCTTGCTGATTCTGATACTCACTACTTGTACATGTGGTGCTGGTTAAATTAAATGTTTTGTCCCACTAAAGTCGCCCTGTATCAACTAAATCTAAAATGCAAAGCTATCGCAGTCAGGGTCAAAGCTCTTTGGCCCTGACCCCTTAGCAGCGATCCGGGAAATTAGGCCAACTCTGCTGCCCTCACTGTTAATCACTCAGCTTAGACACTTTTTTTAAAAAGTTAAATATCGAATGAAATAAGTTAAAAATAGCATTTGTGGTCACATCGATTCACCATGGCTGACAAAGCAACAACAACGTGGCCGTGAGTGGGACTCGTTTCTTTTAGGTTTTCTGAAACAATAACAACAGACTCGGATGGATCCACCCTAGCGCCATAATTTTGTCACACTTTCCCTGGAGCGGACAGTTTGTTAGCGTGCTAACCAGCTAGCCGCCGATGCTAGGCGCTGTTGTTTTCATTTGAAGAGGAACAACAGCAGCGCCGGGGGGGAAAAGTTAATTTAATTTAAAGTGTGGCCGTAAACTTACCCGAGTCTGACGGGGTTTTCATCTTTCTTGTCGTCTTCGATGTGCTGCTTCAGTCACTTTCCCCGTCGACTGGTAACTTTACGCGTTAGTTAGCTAGCCTTTAGCCGAGTTAGCTAGCGAAGTTAGCAGTGACACCCCACTCCTTCCTCCGGTGTTGTTCTCACAAGTGGCTTCTTAGGAAGAACCTGCCCCGATCATGAGCTCGGATTTGAAGTTTAAAAGAAAGACAAACAAACTTCGCACGAGCTTCTGCGTTTTATCTCGACACATTGGTGTTGGTTGAAAAAAAGTTTTGTGCTGAAGTTATGTTGTTTTTTAAAAGCACGGGGCTTCTGGTGCGAGAAGTTGCCCAGCGCCTCTGGGGGGGAAATCCAGTCGCCCGGGACTGAATGGCGCAGGTCGAAGTTTGGAGGAGTCGTGCAGCCGTTGGTCGGTACTGGAGCAACGGAATGCGACGAGTCTAAATTTTCATCCCGCTTGTTGCAGCGGTGTCGCATGGTCGATTCCTCCTCCACATCATCATCACCCTCACCGACAGTCAAAACAGCGGCGCTTCTGAAAGGAACAAAACAACCAAAGCCTGCTCGCTTCTTTCTCTGTCCCTCTCTTTCTCCGGCACGGACTTTTTCCTTTTTCCACTCACTCACTCACTCACTTCGTGTTCTCTTTGCCCCCCCCTTCCTCTGTCGGGGTGTCGTGTTTCGCTCTCCTCCTGCCACACGGGGCCGCCCACGCTGACCCACGGAGGGAGGGAGGAGGAGAGGAATTGAACGCCCACTTGTTGCCAAAGATCGTCTATGTTTTCGGAAGATTACTTTTCCTTTCAGTCCAACAGTGAGTGAGCTAGGAAGAGATTAATTAAGTTGCAACGATGGTTGTTACAGTTTAATTTTCATCATAAACGTATAATAGACTACGTATGATTAATTAGGCACATTTGGAAAAAAAACAGCAAACACTATTGAGATAACGCGTTGTCATGTCATGAAAAATACAGATGAGATAAAATATTGTTTTGTCAGAATCAGGGTAAAAAATAAACAACAAAACAAAAAAACCCCATCAAGATAAAAACACCAAATGCTTGAGAGATACAGTGCCTAACCTCGATAACCACTATAAACAAAAACCTTGTTCGGCAGTGACAGTGAGGTGGTAGTGTGCTACTTTTTTGTGGGGATTTTGTTTTCTTAGCAACCCAGGGGAGATTTACATAGGCTACTACAATTAAAGAGAAACACATTATGCTTATTCCAGTAGCTACTTTTATACTTCAAATATTCACATTGGACTACTTTCAGACCAACAAAAATAAGTAAATAAAAAATTATTCAATGTTTCTCTGCCAAACTTTTATTACTGACACTGGAGAAAGGGTCTTGACACAGCATTTTGACCTTCATGCTGGGAAATAAAGTTAACTGAATAAATAAAATGTTAACTAAACAAAGTTTTTAGTTAGACACATTCTTTTTGGTTTAAGTTCTTGATAAATATGTCTGTTTGTAGGCTCTTGTATCTCTCACTGTGTGCCATATTAAGCATATTTTCAAGTAGAACTGCAACATATGATCATTTTCTTGTATCGATTAATCTGTGGAATATTTTCTCTGTTAATCAATTTATCATTTAGGCCATATAATATCATGAAATGCCTCTCTCAATTTCCCAAAGCCCAAATAGGCTAGACATTAAAATGTATTGTTTTGTTCGACCAAAAGCCCAAAAATATTAAGTTTAATGTCATATAAGATTAAGAAAACAAGCAGATATAAACGTTTGAGAAACTAGTATAGTTAGTGAGAGACAAGTTCTTGCTTTAAAAAATATTAATTCAATGACAAAATAGTTGCTGATTAATTTTGTGTCTTATATATTGGCGATCTTTTCAGCTGTTTCAGCTATTTTGACGTGTGTGAACAAGTGGTAAACATGGATGCTGGCAATAACAATACTAAATACAGACTGTGTATGAAAAGGGAAAACAATATCTGCTTGAGTTGGTTTATGGTTGAATTTCCAAGGTCTTTAGAAGATATAGGACAAAACCCAGATGATTTGCAACCTTTGTAACTGTCTGGGAGATGAGTATCATACTTAGTTTGACTGTAAGGATATAAGCATAATGAATTTCAGAGTATCTGCCAAATATTATAAGGTATAAGTTTTTTCCTGCAATCAGACAAGCCAAAAGTTATTGGCAAATTGGGTGTCTTTGTGAAGAATGTTCTTCCTTTTTTAAAATATTTGCTGGTTTTTGTTTACCAAGGATTATACCATCTTTTTGTCATTTGTTGTGTCTTGTTTGTGCTCCATATCATATGATTATGGTCCTGAGCAAATAAATAAATACAATGAGTTTACATTGTTAAATAAGTAAGCATATATCCCAACATATCAACACCATTTTATTTCATTTGATTTTTTCGAGTCACTCATCGTCTCAATAGACGATCTTCGATGAGGACGAGTCTCCCGTTGCCGCCCGGAGCTGCCGCTGCTGCCTCCAGTTTGTCGCCCGGGTTGGCGCATCACGGCGTTGTTGTGTTGCGTTAACGCTGCGGGTGATGAGAGGCGCCGTGTTTACCTGTAAACTGCGATAGCGAGGTGGTCAGGGTGCCGCCATCCGTCTTGTAGCCATAGGCTACACAGGGAAGGAAGGGAAGGGCCAATCAACAGGTGTTTTGTTGCCCCACAGAAATGGAGGGCGGCCGGGTGAGAGCGCTGAAATTTACATAGACTATAATTATAAGAGGACATCGCCTGTAGCATATCAGGCGCTTATTAGCGTGATGGGCTCACTACACACACACTTACACTCAGTTCTCCCACACTTCTTTCTTCCTCTTTAATGAAGGGCCCTTCAGCACTTACACCAGCTCCAAGGAAGCAGCAGAGAGAAAGAGGGAGTTGAAAGAAAGGAGCAGTAATTACTCAAGAGCCTGCACTGGAGAGCAGCGAGCACACAGAGGTGGAGAGCGGATCGAAGGAAATGAAGTGGAGAGTGTGTGGACTGAAGGTAGTCCTTTTCTTTCTCCTTTCTTTCTACCCAATCAGTCCTCCTGCTGTTTCTCCGTCCATCCATCCCTCTCCGTCCCGTCCTCCGCTCTGCTCATTTACTTTGAGTGGCAGTGTGTGGGAAGTGAAGGCCAGCAGGTGGGTGAAGTATTTCATCTGATTGTCACACACACAAAGGCACAATAACGTCAACAATACATCATCACCGAAAACTGCTTTCTGCTGTCACATCACTTCATTTCCTCCAACCTCCTCCTTTGTGATCTCCTCTCCTCCTCCCTACAATATCCCATACCTTACACTTCTACTCCTCTTCTCTGCATCCTCCTCAGTTTTATAACATCACTCCTACTTTCTTTTAGCCTCTTCCTCTCCTCCAGGTGCTCTCTTCCTCCTACCTATCTGCCTCCTCTCTTTACCTTCTTCCCCTGCTCGCCTCCATGTGATGCTTCGTTACACCTTCATCACAAAACCTCCCTCTCTTTCCACAAGCATGTCCACAGGTGTAACTAAGGTTGATGTTCATGAACGATTTATGTGTTAAGAATTTTGCTTTCTTGCCAAGAGTTAGGTAAGAAGATTGATGCCACTCTCCTGTCTTGTCTGTTCAATTCATCTGGTCAGCTGAGCTTAGCACAAAGACTGGAAGCAGGTGGAAACAGCTACCCTGGCTTTGTCCACCTACAATCACCTCTAAAGTTAACTAATTAACATGTTATATTTCATATTATGTCTTTGTAGTTGTCCCGAGATTGTACCGCACAGTCCGGACTCGAACTTGCGACTTCATGCGTGGGATGCGGACGTGCTAACGAGGAGGCTAAAACCCATGGGTGTTAGCGCGTTTCTCAAGGCGTCAGGGAGTGAGGTTTACATATTGCACAGCCTACCTGACTACTGTTACACTCACCCTCCTAAACTTCACTCCCATCGGAGTCACAGCACCAATGTAACCGGCCCCGGACGCAATGGGTGCTAGCGGCTGTCGCTAATGCGTCTCTTAAGGTGTTGAGGAGTGATGTTTACTCGCTGCACAGCCTGGCTGGGTACTGTTTCATCTTGTCTCTGTGCTCATGCTTGTAAGCAGATTTTTGTTACTTTTGGACTAGCTAGACTAGCTGTTTCCCTGTTTCCAGGCTTTGTGCTAAGCTAAGCTAAGCTAACCGGCTGCTAGCTCCAGCTTCATATCAGCTAATATAAGAGTTGTATCAATCTTCTCATCTAACTCTCTGCAAGAAAGTGGCAAGTGTCCTAAAATGTCAAACTTTTCCTTTAGTTGTTTAACCACGTGACCAACAAAAGGTCTGAAAATTGTGAATGGTTCTAGCTGATGTCTTAAAAGTGTATTTTTTGTGCGACCAAGAGTCCAAAACAAGATATTCAGGTAACTATCACAGCAGAGTAATAAAACAGCAAGCACTCACATTTGAGAATGAAATTGAGACATGGCACAGTAAGGAAAGCACAGGTGTAATAAAATAAATGATGGCTGAATTCCAGCTTCAGGGTCCCGGTAACGTGCAGGTCGGCTCACTGTCATGGTTTAGTGAACACTACCTAGATTCATTGTTAATGTTTTTAGTAACATTTATGCTTTTCCCTCTATGACAAGTCTGCGGTGAAAAAAGACCTATTGACCGATTGTTTAAGCTCTAGTGTGCATGTATTTGTAGAGTTGTGGCTTTTCCACTCTCTGCTCTGCTGCTGACCTTTTGCTCCACCTGAGGACACATCAAGACAAACATCTGGAGAGAGGGAAACGTGAACGGCCCAGCTGTGTTTGATCTGCTCAGCATGACAACATCAGAAAGTATGATGTGTTTGTGAAACCACAAAGCACCAAAAGAGGGAATAAATACTAAGATTTTGCTCTCAGAGAGTAAAACTTGATTTACGGTCAATCTTTTACAGGCAGGAAAACTGCCGCTTTACTGGAAAAAAAATCTAGTGAATAATAACATAATGCAAATTAAACTGTATCTCATTTTGTTGTTTTAGTGTTCAGCAACCACAGGAACGTGAAGCTGTGTAGGTGGGGAGATACCACTTTAAGGAAAGAAACATTTAAATCAAAATATACCTTCCCACCAAAGCTTCATTAAAAATAGTGTTAGTTCTCCAATGTGCTGGTGAAAATGTTAAATCCTCTTCCTCACACGCTCATCATACTTTTTAGCTTTTTAGATTTATGCTAAAAACATCTGACTCCTTATAAAATATATTTAAGAGGTGGGATAAAGTGTCCAATCATCAGAACGCTTTACTGGAAAAGGTCAATATTTAGACTGGTATCATTAGTCTCCCTGCAAAACCTGACTCAGTACTTTGTATAACAGCAGGTCTGCCTAATCAACAACATACTAAGTGGCTGCTTAAAGTTTTTTTATTTTGTTTTTTTCTGGTTTTAAATGGTTAAACTTGAAAGACCAATTTATATTAATATTCAATAATGCGTGCTATAATATGTGTGCCTGACTCAGACTAAAACAATCATATAGATTTTGTCCTTTTTGATTTGTCTTCTGTATTAGATATGGGTCACTGTATCTACTTTTTGTTTGTAAAAAAAAAAAATATTGTGAGAAGCGAAAGACGGTTCACTTCCAACATACAACAACAAAACACAGCTTTGGGAAAAATGTCGCCTTAAATACAACCTTGTGTTTCACAGCAAGTCTTCATCCTCAAAAGTGTGATGAGTCTGGTTGAAATACTGTGCTAAAGAACTTTCATTGGATTTTTAAGCCAATTTCTTCAGCCACAGCACAACAACTTTAAGCAGAGCTGTATCTGCACCGGCTTGACATTGTGTTCAGAAGCCAGCAGTGAAAAGTTGTAGTGGAAATAATAGTTTGTTGATGAAACAGGAGGGATGCTGAGTGAGCGTCTGTAGTGACGATGGCCCGGATGGGGGATGCAGACAACAGCTGCATGTGAAAGCAATGGCAACA